GAATAGATTAATTACATATATATATATATATATATATATAATTTTATTTTTGTTGTTTTGTTTTAGTTAGCTATTATAACCCGGGTCGCATGTAAAGCTACACATGCAACGGAATGCAAATATGCATCTCACATCGCTAACGTGCGGCCCGTCCGCAGCACTTGCTCTCTCTTTGCATCAATCCCACGCACTGAGTAAATAATCCGAGCACCGCGTCCTGATTTGCTCGGTAATCAAATGTTGCAGGGGGAAAATGCTAAGTCCGCTAATTTACACTTTGGAGAAGAGGGGAGAAAAAACGTGAGGCCGAATGTCCGCGGGGCGGCACGCAGGCGTTTATCAGAGAATGGTATTGGTATTGAGCGGCCAGTTGTTTGAAGGTTATGTTTCTGAGCAGTAATTGAAATGCAAAATAACACTAGGATCGATGGTTAGCTCTGTTTATTTATGAAATCAATATTGAAACGGTCTGTCACCATTGCAGCTCTGATTCCAGCTGACAGCCAAACTGAGTGTGCCACGGCTGAGACGGTCATTGCCTGCACTGCGGGCAGGAGCCTGTCACACACACACACACACACACACACACACACACACACTCACTCACTCACTCACTCAGAGGAGACCACAGAGGAAGCAGCGATGCTATTGACAGCAGGGCTTGTCTGTAACAAATACTAACTTTAGCATGACAGTTTTACAAAGTTATTTACAAAGTTGCAGTCTTTTAAATTTTTAATATCACCATTAAAAACTTTTACAATTAAAACATTTACTTTTTGAAATCTACTGTATTTAAGCAATATGACAGCATTTATTTTAAATTAGTTTTCATTTTTGATATTTTCAGTTTTCATCTCATTTTAGTTAAGGTTTTAGTAATTTTGTTGTGTGTTTTTGTCTTTTTTTTAAATAGGTCTATATAGTTTGTATTCATTTTTATTTTAATTTTAGTTATTTTAGTAAATCAACTTAAACTAAATGAAAATGAGAAATTTGCTTTGGCAACTAGCTGAAATAAAATAAGTTAGGCTTTTATATTTTTGAATAGATTAATTACATATATATATATATATATATATATAATTTTATTTTTGTTGTTTTGTTTTAGTTAGCTATTATAACCCGGGTCGCATGTAAAGCTACACATGCAACGGAATGCAAATATGCATCTCACATCGCTAACGTGCGGCCCGTCCGCAGCACTTGCTCTCTCTTTGCATCAATCCCACGCACTGAGTAAATAATCCGAGCACCGCGTCCTGATTTGCTCGGTAATCAAATGTTGCGGGGGGAAAATGCTAAGTCCGCTAATTTACACTTTGGAGAGGAGGGGAGAAAAAACGTGAGGCCGAATGTCCGCGGGGCGGCACGCAGGCGTTTATCAGAGAATGGTATTGGTATTGAGCGGCCAGTTGTTTGAAGGTTATGTTTCTGAGCAGTAATTGAAATGCAAAATAACACTAGGATCGATGGTTAGCTCTGTTTATTTATGAAATC